TCGAAGGTTTTTTTTTTTAATCTTTTTTTAATATAATTTTTGCCAACAAAATAGGTAGAAGACTTTTTACTTTTAAAATTAAGTGTACTTACTTAAAAAAATTAAAAAAATTAATATTTTACTATTTAATATAAATGTTTAAAAGATTTCCATGCATATCTTCAGTCGAAGGTTTTTTTTTTTTAATCTTTTTTTAATATAATTTTTGCCAACAAAATAGGTAGAAGACCTTTTACTTTTAAAATTAAGTGTACTTACTTATCAAAGTATACTTGTTTTATAAAGCATAATTTTATGATTAGGTAGGAGTAATTGTCTAAAAAGCTTTACTTCCTAGGACATCTATAAAAATTCTAGTCAAAACAAACAAACTTTTTTTTGAAAAAGGGGGGGGGGTTTAAAGAGAGATTATTAAGGGTTTTTTTATTCTTTAATTTTTGATACATGAAATTTAAAAATGAAAAGAGATCATTTTAATTCAAAATTAAGACATGTCACTCAATAAAAATTTATTCTAATACTCACAAATTGTCTATATATAAAAGACTATTAATAATAAATTTATACTGTACTAAAGCACATTTTAGCAGAGTTTGAAATTTACCAATTGAGCAAACGTCAATTATGATGCAAGCCTAGAAAAGTGTGAGCAAAATTTTGATGCATGTGTGTTTGGTTTTTCATTTTTTAATATTCAAAAATGGATAAGGTGTAGGGCTGTTGATAAGCTAAGTGACAACTTGGGTTTTGTAGTGATGGTAGTTTGAGGTCACTAACCTCGGACAATCTGAACTATTCTCGATCATCGCTCCAAGATGTCGCTTGAGAGCTGGTGAGCTTAATGGAGTTTGAGCTTGTCCGCTCTAATCTTTCTTTACGAGAACTTCATACATACATAAATCTTTTAAAAGACTTACTTATGATTATTGATATATATGATATTGATTTCTTGTGAAAAGCAACACGTGGATGCATTGTTGAAAATTATAAATACTGCCAAGGATCTTCTTAAAAAAGGTAATTGAAAACCAATCTTAAACCTAGATCTTGCTTGATATCTAGTGTTTTTGATTATTATTAACTTAAGTATTGGAGTGTTTGCCCTGAAAACCAATCTCAAGTATTTACAAATTAACCAAAGTGAAGATTCGGGCTTGGAAGCACCTTGGAGTTTTCCGCAACGAACAGGTTTGCGGGTCTAAAACTTTGCTGGATCATCGGTTTTGCTTTTACCAGCTGGAGTCATTTAGATAAGTGATCTTAATTGGCAATATAAATACTAAGCCATTAATTAACTTTTAAACGATTCCTTAATCCCATCCAAAAAAAAAAGAGGATTCCTAAATTACCTTCTAAACCGAGAACAAAATTGAATTATATTTTGAGAACCATTTTGTATATGCTTATATTACTAAAAAAACCTAACTAACTTCAAGACCTAACTAATTTAATGATAATATATTTTTTTTAAAAATTTTAATTACATAAATTTAAATTACATAATGTATAAATAAAATATATAAATTATTTTTCATTATACAATTTAAAATTGTTAAAAAATTTTAACTTCACCTATTAATTGTATTATTTATACAACTTGAATTTCATCACATGTATAAGTGAAAGTGATATGTAAACAACATTTTCGAATAATAAATTTTACAACATAACAACATAATAATCGTTGATGTGCAAAAGAAAGTTAATGATAATAATAGTTCTTATTAGTTTTAATCACTTGACAAGACGTAAAAATCTATATACATTGTTTCTTTTCTCTCTTTTTTTTTTT